TCACAGGGGTCGCCTAAGACCATCAGAAAACATATATTTTAGATGGTCTTAGGAACCGAGACACCAATTTTATGGTTGGGGGTCACCACAACATGAACTGTATTAAAGGGTCACCACATTGGGAAGGTTGAGAACCACTGTCCTAGATCATCTTAGAAAATCAAAATACTGTTTTAATTAAGAATGAAAGAAAATATAAAATATGACACCCAGAATTGTTTCCAACCCTTTACCAGCAGTGGTTCTACAAGGTGCTTGATCTTTCTGTGTAGAAAGTGATGTAATGTGTACATTTATTTATTAAATTCACATTTGTGACCTCCAGGGACTTTGTAATTCTGTTTTCACCTCCTATGATCCATCTGCACATCCTTGAAGCCCAAGGAGTGGTCTGCTGACTTCTCCATTATATGTCCAGTTCTGGGTCACCAGGAGAAAGGAGGCTTATAATGGAGTACTCAACACCATTTTCATCTGCCTGTCCCATAGGAAAGTGCTGGAGAACATTTCTCTGGGTTTTTTTTTTTCCTCCATAGCTCGCAGCTTGATCCAACCTATTTCCAAAACCTTTTCCCAGCTTCTCGCCCCACACCATTCTATTCCATTTGGACAGAGCCCCAAGTTCCTTTCCATAATTTCTCTCCATCAGCCTATTGCTGTGATGGCAAACCTATGACAGGCATGCCATAGGTGGCACGCAGAGCCCTCTCTGCGGGTACGCAAGCCATCATCCCAGCTCAGCTCTCCCACACATGCACACTGGCCAGCTGGTTTTGGGGTCTCTGCCGTGCATGCGTGGGGGCGGGGCACATGTGGGAGATCCGTGTGCATGTGTGGGGAAACGGTGCACGGGAGTCATGCACGCATGCATGGGTGGGGCACACGGGGGCTGATCACGCTGCATTGCATTATGGGTGTTCACCCATGTGCTTTTGGCACTATGTGCCGAAAACTCTACAAGTGAATCAAGATTCTCCATTTATTATACAATATATCTAGT